TGGTATTGATCCTGATATTGATTCTCAAATTGAATTTGGAATATTTCAAAAACTTGGTGATCCAACTACTAGAAAACAGACAGTTATAGAGCCGGGTTTAGCCTCCTGATGAGTCGGTGAAACTCCGACGAAACAGTTTGTCACAGCCCCTCGTTTGTTGTCCTCTTCTCCCTCTCTGCCCACGGTTTACCGGGCAGCTCTGTTTGACTATGTATATAGCCCGAGCACAGTACATAGCAGCAGTACTCCATGCAATCTGGACAGTGCAACAAAGACTCGGCTCAGCAGCAGCCGGGTGTGACGGACTTGGAACCTGGGCCATCCAAAGCCCTATGAAGTTCTCGAGAGGAAGGCTTGCACGTGGGGCAGCTTTTTTTTTTTTTTTTTTAATTCCCCCGCCAGGTGTTAGTGGTGCTGGTAAGAGCAGGCACCGCTAGCACTAGTAATCATCTCACATGGAAATCTGGAACATCCGTTAAAATTGGAACGATACAGAGTAGATTAGCATGGCCCCTGCGCATTAAATAAAAAAGAAGAAAAAGAAGAACTAAAAAGAGGGATATTTGCATTCCGCAAACTTTGAAGCTGTCGGCAAAGCTGCGATGGGCTCGCCTGTGGCACGAAAAGAAGAGGGAAGGGCATGGTTCCACTTTAAAACTCATTTTCCTTGTCTGACTCTTCCTCCTTCTCCTCCTCCTCTGCGTCAAATGGAGGTGGCGGGGAATCAAGAACTTTGTCAGCAAGCTCCATGGACGCGCGCTGCACCAGCTCTCTGAAGCCAAGCCTTGCTGTCAAGCCCTCCTCGATAGCTCGCCTCCATCTTGCAGCACCTTTCTCAGCATGAAATAGGTTCTGCACTGGGCGTATAAGGGACCGCACACTCGGATAGTTGGGACTCTGGGTGCCGATCGCCGACTCGGCGTACTCTGTATACCGTTCCAACACCTTCCTTCTGGTAACACCTGGGTTATCGACTCCGAAAATGCAGCGGTCTGCATCGCCTAGAACCAACCATGGATGATTGTAAGCAGCTCTGCCGATCATGACCCCGTGGACACCAAGCTCTAGCATCTTTCTCGCCTCTTGACATGTCAGGATCCCTCCATTGATTGTGAAATGAAGGGACGGGAACGCTTTGATCAAACCAAACACGTAGTCGTACTTCAACGGAGGGACAGATCGATTCTGAGAAGGGGTGAGTCCCTTGAGAAGTGCCTTGCGCGCATGTATGATGAAGTGTTTGATGGGCGCTCGTGTTGAGACGCTTTCCACAAAAGTGCACAGCTCCTCAAAGCTGTCATTGTTATCTACTCCAATGCGGCATTTCACTGTGATGGGAACACTGCACGCTTTCGACATAGCTGCAACTGCATCACCCACAACATCCGGTGTCAACATCAACCTTGCGCCAAAACAACCGTGCCCGGCAACCTTTGTGCTTGGGCAGCCACAGTTAAGGTTGATTTCATCGTAACCGTAAGCCTCAGCTAATGTTGCCGCCTGAGCTAGCATGGCTGGATCACTCCCACCTAGCTGAAGTACAATGGGCTTTTGACCCTTAGGGTATGCCAGAAAGCGATCCAGATCGTCTTGCCTGTGGATGACGGTTGCATCAACAACCATCTCTGTGTAAAGCCACGTCTTCTGGGAAATCATTCTTGCCATTTCACGATAATGATTGTCGGTCCATTCCATCATTGGCGCAACACTGAGCTTTGCTGCAAGTGAGTTAGGGGCTGCGGCCTCGTTCAATTTCGGTTCAAACCCTGCTTGTGGCAGAGAAATTTCGACAAGCCCATTATTTTTCGCTGCAAATTTACTCCCCGCCAATGAGCAGTTCGGTTCCAGCCGATGCTCCTTTCCTAACGCTATATCCGTAGCACAGTCCAACAGGACGGTGTCCTCCTGCACCTCAGCGACCTGATCATGCCCAGTCTCCGCGACAGCAAAGGCGGTGCCAGCACTACCACCCCCCTCCCCAGTACCCAGATGAGCTGCTGCCCGGGCGGTCATTTTGGGTGCTGCTGGCATTGGAACTGCAACTAAACAAGACCCCGCAGCAGATTTCCTAAGCTGCGCATTGTTCTGATGGGCAAAATTGAGCCTAACCCTGTGGACCCGGAACTTGAATCCTGGTCTGAGCCTCGGTGCACAACCGAGGCAAGGAGTTTGCTTCAACAGCAGGCTTCCTCTCGGAGGAGAGGGGACCGTACGCTTTGCGGATGGGCAGAGGTGATATCCTTTCTGCGGAGACGGGAGCTTGCTAGAAAATCGGCAAACATCGAGACTGGAAAGTAGTGGTCCCGAAATGAAACCGGCATCCCAAGTCAGGGAAGCCGTCCTCTGTTTCCCAACCAAAGCAGGCTGTGCCCAGCACACAAATGGCAACCCTTTATATCGACCAGATGCATGGCAACAATCGACAGACAAGTTGGAAGCTGGCTTGCACCTTTGTTGCAGTACAGCTCCAGACGACTCTGCAGGGCGACAGTGAACACTGCTGGAGCCAAACAGCACAAGCCTTTGAGCGCATCCAGATGGTTTTGGAAGTCTGCGGCTGTCGATGTGCTTGGTTCTCTGAATGGAACGTCTGCTGTATGATGTGCTTTGCAAAAGCTTTGAGCAACGGAGGGATAGGCTCCAGCCTCGATTTAACATACATGAGGCCATCCTCTTCCCAGAAGCGTACTCTGTTTCCTAGTTTCCACCTGTATAGGGCAAAATCGGCGAATGGCTTTCCCTGTCTGCCCTTACATTGCAGAACGCAGAGTTTGAACCTGGGACGTGAGCCCAACTGATTTCAGATGGTGACGACGGTACCGAACAGAAGGCACAAGCGGGAGGGCCATGACTCTGAGAGCATCGTTGCATGCGTACAACGAAGTCAATGGCCTTATCAAACCCAGACGGAGCAGAAGGCCGGAAGCCCAATGACGAGGACTGTGTTGATGCTGATCCCTTCTGGTTACAAAGTAGCTCTTGGATACCGATCAACACCAACAAAACACTGGCGGAGCACAGCTTCATGTATTGTCCACCCTTAATGCAAGTGGCTTAACGAGGAAGCACACTTGCGCAATGAGGGAGAAGCAGCTGCAAGCACAGGTCAAACAAAAAGATAGAGCAGCTTGCGTAAGGAGACAGAGGAGCAAAAAGGCCAACAATTGTCACAAGAAGTGGCACTCGGCGAAAAAAAAAAAAAAAAAAAAAAAAAACGTGGGCCAAACCTTCGAGAAAAAGATGAAGCAAAGTTGGACTATTGGAGCAACAAGTTCTTTTCGACAGACAGAAAGACAGAGTGGTAGAGAACCAAACTGTGTTCTCAAAAATTAAACCAAATTAGTATATAATGTACGACGGCCTACCTCGGTTGATTTCGCATACAAGTGGCATTCAGGAGGTCGTGGGTTCAATTCCCCGTGGCCACCTGCAGCGTGCTTGGCTGGTGTTCACAAGCCGGTATAGTTGGCTTGCCCTCCCTAGTTGGTCTCGGTAGGGTCCTCAGTTCTCCCAGAGGCCTTTCACCCTTGCCAGACCAGTAGCTGGGGGTTAGCTCATAGCTCATATGGCCGGTAGACCTTGGTTGCTCCGGCTTGGTAGATGTAGTCGCGGCTAGGTAGATGTGGGTAGGTAGTGTAAGGGATACTCGAGAGAGAAATATAACCCAGTTTTTTTTTTTTTTTTTTTTTTTAACCACCAATATTTTGCCCAGCTAAAATAGAGTTGAAACGTTTATAGTCGGATGATTTTGGGCGCTCCTGTAGTGGCCCGTACTTCTCCTAAAATTGTGGCTTGTATATGGGCACGACTTTAGGAAGTACTGGTTGTTTAAGGAAAAAGAAAAAAGGAATCGTAACTGCGCCACAGCTATGATGTACTAAGTGTGTGGTGTAGGGGATAGCTGTGCAAGCACACGGCATGCACAGGTGGAGGTTATTTTTCCCCCCTTTTTTTATATTGTGGTCCGATGGACCAAGGATCAGATATCAAACTGACCAGAACAGATACTACGCCTGATTTATTTTTAGCAAAAAGACCGAGAAAGGTATTGCAGTTGGGATCATAACTGCGACGTACTCTATTTTTTCGCGGTGTGGACGTACTCTATTCGCGGTGTGCGGGATGGCTGTGCACGCACACAACGTGCACAGGTGCAGTTGCGTATGGGAATGCACAGAGTTGGGCAGGGAGCCTGGCAGTGAGTAGCATGTCACTGTTAATATATTGTAAAACATATCTATGAACTAAAAGAGCGCACTTTGTGAAAGAAAAGGTAAAAAAAATATTAAAAAGAAAACAAGACCAAGGGCACACGGAAACCATCCAGTTTTCTCAGTCTTCTTTTAGTACCCCCCTTCACCGTGCGTCTCACGTACAAGGCTTGTGCACGTTGATGACGTTGTACGGTGCTTTATGTGTGTATATGTGAAGGTAATGCTTATTTGCGAGCGCTGTCTAATTTCTATAATTCTATACGTCGTGCATGTGGCGGCGGGCGAGTCTTCAGGGTCTGATCTGCAACTTTTTTTCGCAAACTTTGAGGTCCTGGACAAGTCTGCAATCTATGAAAAACTCTAGGGATACTTCTGAGACGGCGCAGACAGTGACATAAAACTTGATAAAAGTAAAATTTTAGATGTGCAGAATTATCAGGTCCCTAATTTTTAGAAGGGACAGGCCTAGCTCAGTTGGTACACCCATGGACTGTTGAAATATGAATCAGACCCAAGTTCGAGTCCAGATGAATGACATAAGATTATTCTGAATTACCTGGCCGTTCCTACTGCTGCTGATTTTGGCATACCAACCCCTACCCTCGCCCCTTCTCCATTGGAGGCACACTATGACAAGTTGAAAACCGACCCTATCTACCCCGACGCCCGCCCCTTCTCCACTGGAGGCACACTATGACAAGTTGAAAACCGACCCTATCTAAAACCTGCCTGCCACCGATGGACCTAGCTCAGATGGTACGCCCATGAACTGTTGAAATATGAATCAGACCCACGTTCGAATCCAGATGCAATCAGATGAACAGAATAAAGTAATTCTGAACTACGTAGTATCTTAGCCTTAGTGCAGGTTAGGTGGAGATGGTGCAGGAAAAGAGAGTAGGGAGGCGGCGAGGCACCGGGGATAAGAGTAGGGAGGTCACGAGACAATGGGGAGAGAGTAGGGAGGTGAACGGGAGAGTGGCATGGGAGCAAGACATCGGAGTTTTGACGATTATGGAATTCTGAGGTTGAAGGCTTCGGTACTTCTGAGGTTTTGGGCCTCGCTCCCACTACTCTCCCGATGAGCAAAAATGAGACTGCATGTCGCACTAGAACATCGAAAGATACACCACCATATTTTTTTGCCTTTTGTGCATGTGGAAAGTAGTGGGGCGAGGCCCTTTGTCCCACGTGCAAGGTGGGTGGGGAGGGCATAAAAGTTTTGAGCATCTTCTGTGAGGCACCTTGCGAGTTAAATTGACATTGCCCGTCCTCAAGGTCTCTCTCCCAGGTTTCTTTCACCAAAGACACCCAGGAATAGAGCGGTGATTTGCGTAAGAAACAGGCTACCGTCTTCACCTGAACAGAGCACCCGTTCATTATCACTGCATCTGGACTGAAAAGTTGCCCCAAATACGGCTATAATGACCGGCCTTCCTATTAGGGTGACGACCGTACTATTGACGCTGGATATATCGCCGTATGTCAGTGATGCTATAGCATTCATATAGGCTGGCTCTGTGGTGCTTTCAGCTTCAGTGAGCCACTGGGTATTGACTCGTAAACTTTTCTACCATGTGCGACTCGGCGGCTCTCGCTGTCAAATTTTGCATTTGCGAACTGTTCAGCTTGGCAATTCAGTCTGCAATTTTTTTTTTTTTGGGGGGGGGGGGGGGG